ATATTTAACTACCTTGTGATTACTAATGCATTTAATTAAGCTTGCTGTTCCTTCCTTACTGGAACAAAGGAATCCTGGATACAACAAAGCCATTTCATCTCCTTGTAGTGGGATTGAGGCTGTTTCTGCTGTATATGGAAAATCAGGTTTATTCAGTGCTCCTGTGTGAAAGAAAATACAGAATAAATATTCGCTGTATAAAAAATAAGAAAAATAAAATAAAATAAAATAAATAAAATAAATAATAATAATTAAATAAATAATATTAGGAAAATATAAAATAATAAAAAAAATTTAAAAATTAGGAAATTTCTGCTGCTTCCATCAGCACGCAGAGGATGAGGTTTGTGTCTCTCACTGAGTCCATGGCATTGATTGGAGAGGAGCTCTCTCTGCCTGTGCCCTGCGTGGTGTGTGTGATGTGCTCTGGGTACATTTGGATGGAGAAGGGCCTTGAGGGGAAGGGTGTGAGGGGCAGCTGAGGGTACTTGGTCCGGTCAGCTGGACAAGAGGAGACACTCCTCACAGTCCACAGCTTCCTCCTCAGGGGAAGAGGAGGGACAGCCCCCGATGTCTGATCTGTGGTGGCAGTGACAGGACACGAGGGAAGGGCTGGGGCTGTGTCAGGGGAGGTTTAGAGTTAGAATATTAGGATACTAGAATATTAGAATGAAGCTCTTCACCCAGAGAGTGCTGGGGCACTGGAGGGGGTTCCCCAGGGAATGGACACGGCCCCAAAGCTGCCAGAGCTCCAGGAGTGTTTGGACAGCCATCTCTGGCCCAGGGTGGCACTCCTGGGGACGGCTCTGTGCAGGCCCAGGAGCTGGGCTCCAGGATCCCTGTGGGTCTCTCCCACCTCGGCCTGCTCCGTGACCGGCTGGAGTTTCCAGGGGGCTGCTTTGTTGCCAAAGGACACAAAATGATTCACACAAACACTTTTTAGTGTTAGAACAGGAAAGAACCAACTTTTATTCTCTGATTCCAATATTTACAGGTTCGCGACAATGAGCAGGGATTGGATAATTAAGTTACTGCCTTCCCAAGCACACTGGTCATGAGAAATGTCCATCAAAAGACATTTCTTAGAAGGAATGGGATAAACAACTTATGTTTATAGAACTTTCATGGGGAAGTAACTAAAACTATGGAAACATTATCAGAAGGCTTTAGTTTTCAGGGTGACCCTGCCTGGGGATGGGAGCCCCCAGTGTCCTGTCTGCTGAGGGAGAGGCCTGCTGCCCTCCACAGCAGCTCCTCAGCTCTGGAACAATGGCAGTGATACCGATATTGGTCCCAGCATCCAAACCCACCTAAGGAAAAGGAGGAATCCCAGGATTGCTCTCCCTGTGCATGTGGAGGCTCAGACCTGGGCTCTGGCCCTGCAGAGTCCAGCTCCAGGCCCTTCCTCCAGCAGTGACTGACATGGAGCTCACAGAGGATTATAGCTTCAAAATGAGACTGATTGTAAAAATGAGTGCTTCAATAACAAAGAGACTCTTTTTATGCAGATGTCCCAAGCATTAAAGAACTAAGAGAGGATCTCATCCCTCCCCTACCCTCTGAGAAGCTGGGAAGTGTAAGCAAATTGCTCCTACATGGAAAGGGAGGGTTTTGTTCCCTTTCGTGTAGGCATTGTGTGTTCTGCAAGAAAAGCAGAGGAGAGATGGTGAACATGAGCCTTCCTGGGCATCTGGCTTAGAGGGAGGAGAAGCAAAGGAGACAATGCTAGAGTGGGCAGTCTAACTCCTTCCTGTCTTCTCCCTCTCCCTCACTCTTGGGTTGAAAAAGCTTATTTGTTTGCTTGCTGTCCTGGAGAAAGTTTGCTTGCCCTGAGAACCAGAGGACTGTAACTCTAACAAGAAACTTTCCAAACCAAAGAATAGAAAAAAGAGAAATTGGATCAATAAACATCTTCCACTGTGGGAGAGCCCTTTCCCTCTTCATTAAATTGGGACAGCCACAGTACAAAAACAGGGTGAGCATATGACAGTCAGAGCAGCACAAAAACTCCATCAGCCCCGTGTCTGAGAGAGGCTTTTGTGAGCAGTGAGCATCCAGGTCATGGAGAGTGGGAGGATCTGTGGTGGATCAGCAATAAAAGCTGTCTGCAGACAAACTGGTTTATAAACCTGGAGCCCTCTCATTCTCTGAGAGGCACTGCTTTCCTTATTTCTTTTAGGATTGGTAGGAAATCTGTCCCTGAGGTAGCTACAGCCTGCTGAAAATTTGAGCCATGTTCCATGGACCTGAAAAGTGAAAAAATATCTGTCTCAGCTGGGAATGTGCTGCTGGTCCCCCTCAGCACCTCACTTCTGTGCTGCTGGGAGGAATTCTGCTCTGTCTGTAGCCTCTGAGTTTAGGGAAGGAGGACTAAAGGGTCAGACTAAAACCCAAGGCACAGCAATAATTTCTCCACCTGACCTCTGGGCTTCTTTCCTTCATTCCTAAGGGAAAGCTTTATTCTAGGAAGTTCAATAGAAATGTAGCAAATACAACAGAAATACAGCAAATAACTGCTGTGAGTCCTTTCCTCTCCCACACTGCTGCTCTCCACTAGAAAACTCTGTACCTCCACCTGATAGAAAATCTTATCTGACCTGACAGCAGCTGATTTATTTACCAGCTACAAAAGCAACACCAACAATTCTGTTGCTGGGGAGGAGAAGATGTTGCACCAGGAAGGTGATAACCTAGGATGGGATATTTTTGCATAGAGAATTTTGATTGAGATTTGAGTTTTGGAAAAGATTTACTTTCATAGGTGCAAAGGAAGGTCCTGTGAGCAGGCTCTTGGGTTTGTGTGACTCTTGGTGAACATTCAAATGTCATATTTTCTGCACAGTTGTGCTGGGGAATTGTCCCTACTCAAAGGTGTGGACCAGAACTGCAGAGTGTTTGTTTTGGACAGGATGTTCTTATTTACTGCTGCTTGTAAAGCCTCTAGCCCAGTGGGATTCCCTGCCTTGCTGACATGAAGATGTTATCACTGTAAATATTCCTGCTGTTCTGCATGCCTGCACTTGCAGTGTTGTTGGGGTGGTGGGAGAAATCAATCAGAGTATCAGTAAAACCCATGGGCGGAGAACTTCGGAGCTGCCAGCTCCCGTGGGCATCCAAATCCCCCAGGCAGCTTTGGTGATCTCAGCTTGTAATTATTATCAGTAAACATTTTGCTGTTGGGAGCAGGTGAGAGCGGCTAGAAGGAGCTGGCTTGAATCCAAGGAATTTGTATGCCACCTTATTATCATAGTAACTGTGTCAGGGAATAGCTGGGGTGTTTTCTTACTGCATTTCACAGCTTTGGTGACTGAGACACAGCAAAGCCCACAGTCTAACCAAAAATCTCTGTCCATTTGGGAATTTGAATAGAAATGTTCTGTATTCCAGTCCAGTGCCCTAAAATGCATCTTTCCTGCCTTGTTATCAAGCATTAAGGGAGAGATGGAGGCTTTTTGGAGTTTCAAACTTTTTATAAACAAGGTTTTCTTATTAATTTATATAAAAATTTATAAATATTTATTTATAAATATTTCTATATTAATCCATGCTGTTTCCAATTCTGAATTTGTTTCATTGTAATTTTGATTTACAATAAACCAGTATTTTAATCCAACCTTATGATTTGTCCCAAATTATTTTCTTCAACAAAAATTTTATTTGTGATTGATTACACAATATTTCCATGTGAAAATAGAAAAGTGGAAGTAATATCAGTGAACAGTCAGCATTCCAAGATAAAATTTAAAAAACCCAGAAGTACAAATTCCCAAAAGATCCAGTGTTTTTTTTCATTCTAATTGATATAATATTACTGAAACAGAGTAATCAGGTTTCTGCCAATGGCTTTCCCACAGTGAATCTGTTGAGATGGAAAGATTGTAGCCAGTGTCGTCTGAGACCAGCTAAATTCTCACCAAGAAGATATAAAAAAGTAGCAGTAATATTTTCACAGCCATAACCAGAAATTCTCCTACAAAACCACTGCTATGCAAAAGTTTTGAAACAGAGCAAAGATGAACATTAAACAACAAAACTGGTATTTAGCACTTCTCTTTACCTTGTTCTGCCATCCTCTCTCACCCTGCAAACCACCTCCACAGAACCTCATCCCTTCTGTTTTTGCAGCAGTGAACCTGATAGGAAAACAGAGTGAAAATTAATTTAATGTGGATGGGTGATTGTGTCCCACCTCGATTCCTGTGCCGCTCGCAGCTCTGTGGTACCCGAGTGCCTTCCAGGAGTGCAGTGAAGAGCGCGGCTCACAGCTGGCACGTGTTTGTTCTCTCATCCCTCCTCGGGGGAAATCACTTCCAGTTGACTGATTTGGGAGGAATTCTTTCTAAATATGTGCACATAGGATGCTAAATATTTGCTAGCAAAAGGCCAGGCCAAATGAATTCCTCCTGGAGTGGAGGAAAATGGAGTTTGTGAGGATTATTTTGTCTCGGGAGTTAATACTGTAGTAATTAGTTGCAACCTGCACAGAGATGTGGTGTTGCTGCCACAGATACAGCATTCCTTTTGGGATGCTGTCAGGGAACAGGGGTGTGTGTCAGTGAACCTGGAGGTGAGAACTCACAGACAGAAAGAGGAGAATATACAATAATTTAAATGAAAATCTTTACTCCTCACTCTGCTTAAGCAGAAGAGCTCCATAGCAGTGTCCTGGCTGGGAGGGAAATATCACTCACAGAGTCTCACACAGAAAATTCAGGATCCAGGTAATCATGTTCTCAGAACTGTTCCCAAGTTATCCAACATGCAAAGTAGAAACAGGACATGTCCCTCCTGAAGCACTGAGTCTCCAGGGTGTTCCAGGGTAGAGAATGCCTCGTGTTTATTGCCCTGTGCAGAATTTTTGTGTGTTCCCTTATGTAGAGCTTTGTCCCTGACAACTGCTGGCATCTGTCTCCCTTTCAGTGCTCCCCTGTGGGATTCCTGGTTGTGCTCCATGCATGACATCCCTGCCTCACTGATTCTGCTCTGACCCACAGGCACAGCCTCCCTGGGAAGGGTTTTCCTGGCTCCTCACCATGTTTTCTGGAGAGGAAGGAAGGGAGTGGAAGGGAACACCAAGATGAGATGGTGAGCATTTCACTGCTCTGTGCATCGGCACCCCTAGCAATAAAAATATGTAAAATTTTCTCCTCCATTAAACCTTGAGGTTCAATTTGTGACTGTTCATAAGGGCAGAAGCTACTACAGAAATGGATTTTTTTAAGTGTTCAGTTAATTAGTAGCTTTAAGAGTTATCACATCCGTGTTTGTCCCTCATTTCCTACAGCACTTTGTTTTTCCTGTGAATAAGACATTTACAGGCACTGTAAACACTGTTTTCTTACATCGGGGTTTTTGTTTAGGGTAAAAAACAGATTGAGATGCCAATTTTTACTGGCTTCTAAATAACCTCATGTAGAGTTGAGTGTCTTAGCAGTACAAGTTCTTCTCCAGGAAGCTTGTACCTGGACAGTGTGTCCTGTAATGGGACAAATAATGAAATTCAGCAAGTTTGGATGAAAAATAGAAGCAAAATGAAGGTGATTTTTTCTTTATGTAGCTTTTCTGCTTTTCCTTGCCCAACACCTGCTTGTTGCTGTTGTACTGAGCCCTTGCTTGGCTCTTTGAGCTGTCTTGCCCCTGGTCCAGAGCATTACTCTTGGTTCCTAGGATGGCTTCAGGCTCAGGAGAAACTGCTGTGCTGGCAGAGGATTGCCAAAACAAACACTCTGGTGCCTCTTTGTGGGGGAATTAAAGGTCACAGGGAGCTCTTGGGAAGGGAGGAATAGCATGAAGGATTGGCACCTTCACCTGCTGCTTTCTGTGAGTCATTGGACTCCCAGTTGTAAAGTGAGCTTGATTTCTGAGGGTTTTTCCCTAAAACAGGTGCTATTCCCATCAGTGGAGAAACCCTGGCTGTGTGCAGGGTTCTGGCTGAGGCTGGTTTTGGAAAGGCTGTGTGGTTTGGAGATGTGATGTGGGGGAGCAGCTACTCCCTTTCCTTTGCTCTGTGACTTTCATGCATTCACACGGACAACTCTGTTCTCTAACCAGCTTTCCCAAAAATTGGAAATGAGCTAGAGGGGAAATTAAAACTACCAGCTTACCCTCAAATGCCCTGTGAATATGACACTTTTTTTTTTTTTAATAAAAGCTCTTCTAGATGTAACGAACAATAATCTATCTTTCTCCAGGCTATTGACTTTCCTATAGAGAACAATGCAAAAGAGTGTCCTTCCTGCAGCAATCACAGAGGCTGTTAAACACCACCTCCTGGGAGGACCTTGTTCTCATCTAAGCATGATGCTTTTCTGGCTAATTTAAATTTATCCTTATTCAGCTTCATTGCTGTCAGGGCTGCTCCTCAAAATAGAACCTTTCCATAGGTGAAAGTCTCTAAATGCTGATCTGGATGGAGGCAGACTTATGCCAGATTTTGAAAGTTATCTATTTAAAATTTCACTTTAAAAACTAATATAGGTTAGTTTTAAGATGATATTTTATGCATATATGATATGCAGCGTCTTTTAGGCAAGGAATTTATTTTTTTCTTATGTTATTCCACCTCCTTCTGTATTATCCTGTGCAAGTATCCTTTGGAATCCAATGTGGCAGGATAGCATTTACTTTGCTTTGTGGGTATCTTCAGAGGTGAGGTCATGGTAGCCTCTCTGTGAGGGACCTAAAAGTAATTGTTGATGTTTAATGTAATTAATTTTCTTATTTTCAGTATTTTTGTAAAGGATGGCTTCACAGTTTTCTGATATTTTCTTTGTAGAGACCTTTCCTTTGATTTGTCCCCTGTGTTCAAAAACATAGGGATTTGCAGCAGGGCTGGTTTGGTTTGATTCTAAACATTTCTTTGCTTTTATTGACACTGCAGTCAATAAAAAGACAGTGTTAGGAAAAGAGATATTATTTTCCTTGAACAACAGTGGCATCATGAGGGAATGCTGCTGTCCCCTCCGAGCCCTCCTTGAGCCCAGGGTTTTCCCAGCCCTGTTCTTCCAGTTTGCTGCCACTTTCCAGCTGTTGCTCAGCTTCCTTCCTGGGTGACACCATCTGCAGCTGCTGGGGAGCTGAGCGTGAAGTCAAAGGAAAGGAACACAGCTCGACTCAGGGACTTTCCTTCCTGCAAAAAGGGAGGAGTGTGGAAGACAGAAGAAGCAGTGATAGCTGCAAGGCTGAGTGGTTTTTCAAAGGATTCTGAGAGACATCAGCTGCTCTGAAAAAGCAGAGGCTGAGAACAATTCTGTTGTAAAACTGACTTATTTCTGATCACCACCATGAAAAATTGTGATGTGCTGTGATAAAAATCGTCATGTTGATTTCTTGGCAAGCTTGGCTAGTCATGCACCATTGTCTGTCCGGTCTGTGTTGGCTCTGGGATTTTTGCATCATCCTTCCCATGTTAATAAATGAACTGTAACATCCCTAAAATTTTCTGAAACAAATCTGGGATTAGCCTAGTTCAGGGAGCATCTGGATCAGTGGTGCTGTGCCCTGTGCAGCAAGAAGGTGCCAGGAGCTGTCTTTGTGAGGCACTGGCTGTTGAAGGAAGTGGTAGTCACCATCCTTTGAGTCATTTAAAAGACATGTAGATATGATGCTTTAGTGCTGGACTTGGCAGTACTGGGTTAACAGTTGGACTTGAGGATATCGAAAGTCTTTTCCAACCTGGACAATTCTATGATTTTAAACTGGTGTTCTGGGCTTAGTTTAAAACCCTAAGCTTAATATATGTGTCCAGTTCCTATCTGCTGTGTGGTTATTTAAATGAAAATGTCCTCCTCTTGCTTTCCAGGCTCTCTAGCCTTCTTCTCTTACTGATGCTTTGACCTGAGGGTGCTCCTCTGCAATCTACCAAGGTGCACAATTTGTAAAATTACCTACTGCCTCCAATTCCAGCCTTCTCCCATCCATGGGATTCTCCCTCCTGTTCTGTCTGGTAAGTCTCCTGCCTTTCACATTCAAATAGCTCTTTAAAAAGTCTTTATATCTATGCAAGTAGATAGGTAGATCCCAGGGAAACCCACTTTGGGAGTAATAAAACAAAATGTATTTTGTGCATTCAGCGTTTTCTTAATTGAATTGAAGGGAAAGAAGTAAAATAAAAGAATTTTTAGCTTCTTGCCTGTAAAGTTTGGAATATGCTGAGATGCCTAACTTCAGTGTGGACTAAAGCTCTAAAGAACTTGATAAAAACCATTAGTGACATGACTTGGTTTGTGTGAAAGGCCAAAGAGAACTTGCCATGTGCTCGCAAATCACCGCAGCTGTCCTGGCAGAGCTGCAGTGGGCACTGCCCTGCCACAGCACCTGGGGGATCCTGGCTGGTTCCTTTCCTTCTTTAGGGTCACCCAGCAAAGAGAACACGGGCTTTGGGCTGGGGACAATTTCTTTTTAGTGTTGGATGTGCAAATGCTGAGTTGCTGCATAAGGAGGGTCTGTGTTTGCTTCCAGCGCGTTCCCTGTATGTGTGACACTCAAAGCTAGAGAAAGCTGCCAGTGTGAATTGTCTGGGCAGCTGCTGTGGAGCTCATAGAACTGTCATAACTTTGTATAAACTGCTCTCACATGTGCCAAACTGCCAGCACTCTGGGCCAGCTCTTAGAGGGTCCAGCAATTTTTTGTAGCTTAGGCGGTACCTGAGAAGGTTCTGGTTTGGCCCCGCTGACTTCTGAAGGTGAGAGTTTTGATTCTCAGCAACATCTGGACCTCTCTTACATCCAGCTGATGTGGGGAACTTATTAACCTTTCCTGAGAAGAGTTTGCTTTTTAAAAAATGGATCAAAAGAACATGTTTTGATACATTAAAAAATGCATGTCATAAAACTGCTGTTTCTGTGCCTGCTGAAGCCAAGAACTGCTCAGGCGTGAGAAAGAGCAAAGAGGAAAAAAAGCCAGTAAAAACTATCCAAGCCTAACAGAAATATTAGGAAAGGAGATGAAAGACAACCACCTGGGATGCCCATGAAACAACTGATTTTAATCCCCTCCTGGTGCTACTTGTTTCCTTAGAAAGGGAATTTATAGATGAAGGAAAGATTGCATGGGTAATGTGCTTGGTCAGTGCTTGTAACCCTCAGCCTGGAGCCAAAAAATCCTGAAAGGCAAAGAATGATTTTTTTTTTTTGTAGATATCAGGAATTCCCCTATTTCTTGCATGTCCTCTGCAGATCTGGTAGTTCTTTAGGGAAGGATTGTTGGCCTCCGGTCATACAAAAAGGAGACAGCAAACATGCACATGGACTCAGGAACTGCTCAGTCTTTGGAAAAATGTAACTGAAAGAAATTTATAACTGACTGGAGACACTGGGAAGAATTTGGAAATGGTAGCACCAACTTCATACCGCTGAGATAAAGCTTGTAATACAGTGGGCTTGTGAAAAGCTTCAGGATTTATCCTTATGCAGCAGTGTGAGTTTGGACACTGACCAGGACACCATCTGCAAGTGTCCAACAAAAATCAAAAACAATTTATAGAGGAGATATTGCCTTCCCTCCACTCTCCAACAGTAGTTCCAGCCAAGTGGGAATGGAGGAATTTTATAAGATTAGTGGGCTACAGGCTGCAAGCAGAGAGCTAACCTTGTCTGCCTCTAAAGCCAGGGGTATAATCTCTAAATTAAATTTACATGATTTATCACATCCAGGAAGATTGGTGAAGCAACCAGAAAAAGTAGAGGAGAGGGGAAGAGATGATGGCCATTGGACTGGAGGGGTTTTGTCTTGTCAGTGGCAAAATGCACAGTTCAAACCACTGAAATGGGATTAGTAGTGGGTCCCCAAACCAAATTGTACTGAAACAGAGGTGCTTTATATATTGTTTGCAAAATGCAATATCTCAGGACAGAGACCCATCTGTTGTCATGGAGGAATCAGATGAAAAGTGCATTAAAAGTTGGAATTAGTCCCCACTGGGAGATCTGCACTGAGTCATGGTGATATATGGGATCTGTGCAGAGGGAGGAGAGACAATACTGTCCCTATGATTTATACATTGCACAGTCACTGCCACTAGCTACAGCATTGCTGCTCTCCTGGCTGCAGACAACAGCAGAGAGAGGGTCCCCCTGGCTCCTCTGCAGTCCCATTGTGCTGGAGCAGCTCTGTTAGGATGGGAAAAGGTGTTTGAAAAGCAAGGAGAAACTCACACAAAATGCAAAGCCCAACAGAAGCTGGCCCAGGAGAAGAAATTGCAGATTTGATGTGTTTTATTCACTTGGAGCCTTAATGTAGAGTCAGAACATAGAAGGATGATTTGTTTAAGCATCTCAAGTATGTTCCTTCTTCACAGCCAGCTTTCATGACATGTAATAAAGGCACTGTACCGACGTAAATCTGCAGAGAACAAACTGGGAATTAGGGCTGTGCAAGTCCTGGCTGCCTTTGGAACAGTGTGGATCTGCAAACAGGCTCAGTCCATGGCTCAAGAGGAGCTAAAACCATGTTTGTCTATATAGGTAAAATAAGAATTAGACCCAGGACAACTGCAGCTGCTGAGCCTGTGGTGCTCCTAATAAAACTCATCCCATCTTTCCTTCTGTGATCCCCTGCTCCAGCACTCCCCACTGCTGCTCAGCTGTGCAGGTTTTCATCCAGCCAAGTGCTCTGATTTTATTTTGCTGCTTCTTAAGTAACAGCTACAACTAGGACAGGGATAAAGCCAGCCTTGAAAACCTCCCCTACACACCTTGCAAAGGGACTGATTAAAGCTTTCTTGTTATCCCTGGGAAATCTGGGCACCTCCTAAGGAAGAGCTATGAAATCGTTTCCCTTGTTAACTGCTGGGATCTTCTTGGAAATCCTATCATATTTCATTTTTATTACCTGTTACTACAACTATCCAGGTGGCATATTGAAAAACACTTGTCACAAAAATGTAGCATTCTTCTTTTATTAGGAATAAATGAAATTTATCTCATAACCCAATCTCCTTCTAAAATAACTATAGATCCTGGCAAAGAGGAATTGAAGATAATATATTTTCTTCATTTATTGCATTAGCATTCATCATCTTCCCTTATATTTTTTCCATCTATTTTTTTTTTCAAATTACCTCCCCAGGTATTTAAAAGCTAGTAAAGGCCATTTTGTTTTGTTTTTGCTGAGTTTTGCTGGTTAGCTGAAGCTGGCACATGGCCACACTCACATCCAGGCTCTTTAAAACTTGGTGGGGTGCCACTCCAAGGAGACACCTCATTAAATTCATGTTGGCAAATGTTTGTCACCTTCTCAGGAGCTCTGCAGTGATTAAGGCTGGGATTTTCCTCCCCTCATCTCTGAGCCAGTTCCTGGAACCAATGCTAACAGGCATTTTCTCAGGTAGCCAGGATTACTTGCCCTCTAAAGTGTCTTTCTCTCTCTCTGCTCTTGAGGGAGCCTGGATGACAGGCCCAGGTTACACACTTCATTTTTAGATGCTTAAAATGAGATGAATTCCATCCTCCAATTCCTTCAAAACTATTTACTTGATTTTTCTTCCCTGCTGCCGCTGGCAAGAGTATGTTTCAGATCAGTTCTTCCCTGCACCAAGAGATCCTCATTCAAATGCTCCAAGGCTTGACCTTTCCCGAGCTTTTTCATTTATGCCACCTGCTTCCCACATTTGACATAGCCCTAAACAGTTTCATATCATTTCAAGAGCACTCTTTAGAGTTATGCTCTCCCTTGGTCACCTCTGAGTCTCCTCTCTCCCAGTACAGGTCATGTTTGCCCAGTGCTTCTGTGTGAGGTGCTGAGGTGCTGAATCAGTCTTGCATTGTCTGAACTCCTTCATCACAGCAGCATCTTCTGGGCCAAGCTCTGGCTTGCTTGGAATGTGACAGTGAGGGAGAGGAAGGACATGGGGAAATTGTTTTTTCTTGGCAGAGGCTCTTGTGCTGGAAGAGCCCTGGTGCATCTGAATGTCTCTAGAGCTGTGAGGAGGTTGGGAAAGAAAGTACAGTAACTCCATGAAGGGGGATTGTGCCAAGATTTATATGCTGGGAAGTTTTGGGCAAAATTAATCTATTGATTCGTTGCTCTCTGGCTTTGCCTGGTTTTGTTTATTTTGGTTTTTTGGTTGTTTTTTGTTGGGTTTTTTTTGGGAGGGGGTGTGGTTTTGTTTTGTTTAGTTTTGTTGTTTTGTTTTGTTTTTTGTCCTTGCTTATTGTTTTTTTCCCCTCCAAACAAACATTTGGGACCCTCAGGCACACTGGAAAAATGTTGGAGGTTCAGTGAGCAGCTTCCAGGCCACGTATATTTCCCTCTTCTTTATTTCTTTTCCTCTCTAGTTACCCTGAAATTCACTTTCCTGTGGTTTGGGTTGTTTCTTCAGCTTGGGCACCAGAATACTGTGGAGGGAAGTGCCATAAAACCAGATCATGGCATTACCTAAATGGCAGAGCTGTGATATGTGCTGTAGTTTGGGACTGGTTTTGTGTAAATCACTTATCCAGAACTATGTATTGCACAAAGTGGAGCATCTTGATCAGAGTCTCAGTTCACTGCTTGCTGAAATCTGACCCTGTGCCTGCAAGTGCTCTCAGGAGCTTTTAGCTTAGGTGCACACAGAGCCCTGGGACAATGGTGTAAGGCAGGCTGATAGGAGAGAGAATTGGGTTCTTTTTGAGGAAAAAGACTGATGAAGAAATGGGAGGGAAGAGAAGCTGTTTAACATTCTGGGTTTGCTTAGATACAAAGAGAGAAATCAGTCTTCTCTCTGGTGAGGGATGGGCTGGACCCATCCTGCTCTACCCCAGCTTGTCCCTGCACTGTCCCAGTCTGCTCCTGAGACCACCAGGCTGAGGCTCACAGTGCATCGACCTCTTGAGCTCTGTCTCTGCTGCTGGAGCCATCACAGGCTGTGTCTGCCAGGGCTGGCTGATCTTGCTCTGAGAGGGGAAAAATATCCACTGTAATCCTCACCCAGAACATCGCTGATCTGGAAGAAGAACTCCCAGG